GCACCACCACATATCTGCACACATACCACCAAATAGCACGGGGTTTGGTTTGAAGAATGCGAAAAAAGTGGCGACGATAGTGATGACAAAGAAGGCGACGAGAACGAGAGAGATAGACAAGAAGACAACAAACAGCAAGAGAGGCGTGCTGCCGTCGTGAAGAGTCGCCGCCTACCTGTGGAATAAAGCTATCAATGAAATAGAATGAAGCATTAGCCAGGCCGGCCCTGAGGCGAGGCAGACGAGACTTGCTCCTCAAGCCCAAAACTGAAGCAGCATCTAGGTGGACATTCTCCATGGGTTTAATTAAAATGAATCATTGCTCTTATATTTAAGTGAATATATTATTTAATACAATGTAATTGTAGCGTGCTTGACACCAATAATGCAAAATAATATTACTAATTTTGAAATTAACTGCCCATTTATTATACATAAGTACGATGTGGACATGAAGTTTTTTAACTTTCGTGCCACTCAAATGGCAATCTATAGAATCAGAATGTATCGAATATGCTCTGGGATGTGTCAAATCTGACAATTGAAACTAACCCAATCGACTGTGTTTACTTATTTAATTCTCATTCAAAAAGATCTAAACCTTAAATTAACCGAAACAACATAGCTGATGTCTATGGACTATGACAAACTTTACAAAATTTTTACTCGTCCAACTCACAAAAAAGATGGCTAATTTTGGGCAACGAGATGGCAAGATCCGACTCGCCTATTCCCAAGAAATGTACTCCATATTTATTGCGAATTATAATTTTTTATTTCTTTAATTTGTAAATTAATGGCACAACGAACATCACACCAACGTATACGCTACGGAGTGTAGTCAATTTCGATGCACGGCAAAGCCCTGCTCCACGCCCAATTCTTGCTCTCCTTTCAATTTATCTCTACTATTCTTGCAATAGGAAACCATCCAACAATTTTTCTCCACAAGTAAATGGTATCTGAAAAGTAAATACTAGCATTTTAAATGATGCATGAAGAATTTTAGCGGTCAACGAAAGCGTTGATCACGCATTATTAATTTTTTTTTTACTACATAAAAATTTTCAACTTTTAAGCCAATTGGTTGAAAGGCACAAAAAGTTGGTTAGCCACTTATTGATCCACTAATTTATAGTTGGCATCTAAAAGAACTTTGTTGTAAACTTATGATATGGGATAAGAATCAATTTGCTTTGACTTTAGTACATTGTACCTTTGGTTTTGCTAGAATATATTGTATATTTGGTCTGACTGCAGTGTATTGTACATTTGATTTAGCTCTAGTGCATTGTCCTATTCTATAAATAGTTCTTTATAT